CAGGAGGAGCCTCAGGACTCAAATCTCTTCCCTTTTGTCCTGTTTTTGTTTGATTCCGTGTCCGAAATTCCAGCATTTATCGCACTTTTTGTGCTCCTTAACGGGCGCCCGGGCTTTTTTAGGGATTATATAAAAATCCATATTTATGAGACAAGCAGGGATCAAGAACATGGAGATTTAAAAGATCCAATTATCTTCCCAAAGTCCGCCTTTACGTTCATGAATCCAATGTTTTCCAGGCAGTTAATTGCCTTTCCCAGCATTTAGTGGCTCGTTAGAATTCCAGCATTCCCTGATTTTAAATTTAAAAGGATCCTGTGCCTCCTGCTTGAAGCCTTGGGTCTCCAAGGAATTCCTGAGGAGGAATTTTTTTTTTTTTTTTTTGTCCTGTAGAATAAAAAGAAAACATCCTAAACATCCCTGGCATCGTCACTGGATGGAACATCCTTTTGTTGGGATGGGAAAATCAGGATAAAGATCCAAGTCCTTCCATTCCTCTGATCCCACCGGAGCCGATGGGATTTTGGGATGTGCCCCAAGCCAAGAAAAAGAGGGACAAAAAGCAGCAGGGATTTGTACCTGGAAAGGGTGAGCTGCCCCATTCCCATGGAAAAATAGGATTTCCCAAGGAAGAAGCTGTTTTCCCTATATTTTCCCCATATTTTTAAATCCAGACTTTTCCATGGACATCCAACCCCGCTGACGTTCCAACCTTTCCACCCGACCTATGGATCAACATTCCTGGCAAAACAACAATTCCAAAAAAAAAAAAAAAAAAACCCAAGGCAAAACCCCTTAAATTGCACTTTAATTGGATTTTCCAGAGGGTTATTAGGAAATGTTTCCAATCAAGGAGTAAATTGGGATTGTAATAAAATATTCCATAAATATTTACATCGGCCCTGGCTCCACTTGAAAAGCTGGGATATTTTTCCCTCTTGGACACGCTGCCAGAGGAGCCAGTTGGAAAATTGAGGTCTCAGAGTCACTTTGTTCCCATTGAGGAATTATCTGAGGGGGTTTCCACCCCCCCCCCCCCCCAAATTCCACCTGAAAATATTCCAGGTGCATCCCAGGTAAGTCTTGGGGATTTAAATGGGATGAGGAGAGGGAGCAGAGGGAGGAGAAGAGGGAAAAATCTGCAAAGCTGGGGAGCATCCCAAGGAATTTACGAGCTGTGTGGGGTGGGCTGGGCTCCAGCTCCATCTCATCCGGATCCATATCCAAAGGAACCTTTAATCAGGTGTGGATCAAGGAATTTCCCGGGAATAATTCAAGCCAGGCTTTGTTTATTGCTCGGAATCAGAGCTCGGTGCCGTGACCCCGGTGCCATATTGAACCCGTTACCTGCTGACATTCCAGGATTAAAGAGGGATTAGGGAGATTTTTCCCACTTTTCCAGATAAACTTCTCTGCCTGTTGGAGCACAGAGAGGAGGAGGGGAAAGCCCAGCATGGAAAAAATGAGGCTGGATAAACGGGAAAGGTTAGGAAAACACTGCTAGGCTAGGGATGAGGAATCCATTAAATATTCCATGGATTAATCAGATCCCAGGGAAGCAGAGCTGCAGAGGGATGGGGATGCTCAGGGGTCATGGCCAGGCAGGAGGATCCTCACCCAGGATATCCGGGAAAAATCGGGACAGGCTTCCCAGAGAAGAATTCTTGGAAATGTCCAAGGTCAGGTTGGATGGGAATTGGAAAAATTTGGGATAGGGGAGGGTGTCCCTGCCCATGGCAGGGGTGGAATTGGATGGGATTGAAGGGTTAGGAGTAAAAATTAGGAGCCAAGGACCTGGGAACAAAAATCAGGATCCCAGATTTAGGAAGGAAAAGGAGAAAGTTAAAGGATTAGGAACAAAAATTAGGAGCCCAAGGTTTAGGAAGAGAAAAGATTAGGATCCCAGATTTAGGAACAAAATACAGGAGGTGAGGGTTTAGGAATCGAAATTAGGAGCAAAAATTTGGAGTCCAAGGTTTGGGAGGAAAAATTCCGAGCCCAAGTTTAGGAACAAAAACTTAGGAACAAAATTCAGGAGCCAAAAGTTCAGGAGTTAAAATTGGGATTCCAGAGTGCAAAAGGCTGGAAAACCCAATGGAAGTGGCTGGGAAAACAAGAGGGAAAGAATCTTGGGTGGGAAATTTGGGATTCCAGCGAGCCCTCAGAGCTGCCACTGCCACCAGGAGCTTCCCAGCTCTGTTCCCATGGAGCAGATCCCTGAGCTGAGGATATTCCCATTTTCTCTGTCCTTTCCATAATTCCAAAGGATGGAGCCAATTCCTGTGCCGGGGCTGACGGATGGGAGCCGACAGCATCACTTCCCATCAGGATTATTTCTGGGAATTAACCCCGGGAGCTCCCAATGCCTGGGAATAATCAGCTGCTTCCCAAGAGTTCAGGGAATGCAGGAAAAGCTGGGATGGTGACGTTTAACAGCAACAAGGAGAAATCCTATGGGGAATGGAGGCTTGGGATGGGATTTGAAAGAAATCCCATGGGGAATGGAGGCTGGGGAAGGGATTTTAGGAAAATGGTGGAATTCTGGCCAAGGGCAGCTTGGCTGGAATGTGAAAATCATTCCCAGTGGCTCTGGGACATCTCAAGGCATTTTAAGGACATTGGGGACAAATGCATGGATGGGAATGCCATGGAATGCTGTGGGTAGGAAGGGATTAAATCCCATCCCATTCCATGGGCAGGGAACGTCCCACAGGCTGCTCCAATCCCCATCCAACCTGGCCTGGAACATTCCAGGGATCCAAGGGCAGCCACAGCTTCTCTGGGAATCCCATCCCATAGATCCCATGGATCCCATCCCAATCTCCCCTTTCCCATTCCATGTGTCCAGTCCCTCCATATCCCTTGTCCCAAGTCCCTTTCCAGGGAATTCCTTTTTCCCCCCTTGTTTTTCCCAGGATGAGGGCCAGAGCATTCCCAGCTGGAATTCTGGGGTGTGAGCAGAGCCCAGGGGAGTCGGTGGGGTGGAAGTTTGGGACACCGGGATCGGCTCCGGAGAGGAGCGACCCCTCCCCTTGGAATGGGATCCAACCCCCCCCCTCCCTCCATCCATCCATGGAATTCCGGGAATCCTCTTTCTGGGAATGAGCTGGGATTCGCCGCTGATCCGAGGAGGATTTGGCAGCCCTGGAAAACAGGGATGGGAATCCCGGTGCCACACTGACACCTCATGGAAAAAGCGCTCCTTGCAATTCCAGAGCTCCAGGGATGGAATTTTGGGATAAATGTTTGGGTTTTGGTGCTCGCTTTGTCCTGATAAAGCTGGTTCGGATAAAGGGAATTTTCCTGGAATTAAAGGCGTTGGGATCAGGATCTGCCTGGGAAAACCTGGAGATCTTGGAGCTGCAAATCCAACATTTCTCCCCTCCAACCTCCTCTGTTTGCCGGGGGTTTGGAGGAAAATAAAATCCAAATAGAAATAAAATCAGAGTTAAAATCCAAAGAATTAAAATAAGAAGAAAATTTTAAAAATAAAAACAAAATTTAAAATTAATTATTAATAAGAATATAAATAAAAAATAAAAAGTCGAATAAAAAACAAATTAGAAATAAAATCAAAATTAAACTTCAAATAATTAAAATAAGAAAAAATTAAAATAAAAATAAAATAAGAAATTAAAATTATTTAAAATAGAAATAAAATCAAAGGTGCTTTTCAACCTTTTCCTGCATCCAAACCTTCTCCATGAGCATCACTTCCTCGTGTATCCCAGTTTTCCACAGGAATATTCCCAATGGGATTTATCCAGTCACCAGGATAATGGAATCCAAATCCAAGAGATGACTCCTCATTAATGATTAATGAACTCATTCAATCCCATAAATCAGAGCCTTTCCCAGAGTTATCCAGCATTTCCAGTGGTTATCCCTATCCAAATCCGTATTCTGATCCCAATCCCAATCCCGATCCCAATCCTCCCACAGGGGCAGGAAGAGGTTTGGGAGCAGGGGAGGTGCCCAGGCTGGGATTTTCCAAGGACTCATTCCCTATCCCAGGGCAGAGCCTGATTCCTGCAAGGAAAATCTCAGGAAATGGTGCCATTCCTGGTCTTTATCCCAATCCCAATCCCAACCCCAATCCCAATCCCAATCCTGGCATGGGGGAGCAGCAAGGGGCAGGAGCAGGGATGGGAGCAGGGACATTCCAAGGACTCGTTCCCTATCCCAGGGAATCGGAGCCATTCCCGCGGTTTTCCCACCCCATCTAGCGGTGCTCTGGCAGAGCTGCTTCCCATGGATCCAGCCGGGAGCTCCCTCTGGAGCTCATGGAATCCTGGAATTCATGGAATTCTGCAGGGGCTGGAAAATCCCTCCCTTTGTGCCCCCCTGAGCTGCTCCAAATTCCAGAGGTCCCAGAGCGGCTCTGGAGCCGGGCTGGGAGAGCTGGGAATGTTCTCCCGGAGAAGGGAAAAATCCAGGGAATCCTCAGAGCCCCTGCCAGGGCCTGAAGGGGCTCCAGGAGAGCTGGAGAGGGATTTGGGATAAGGGATGGAGGGACAGGACACAGGGAATGGCTTCCCACTGGGAAAGGGCAGGGATGGGTGGGATACTGGGAAGGAATTCCTGGCTGGGCTGGAATTCCCAGATTTGCTGTGGCTGCCCCTGGATCCCTGGAATGTCCAAGGTCAGCTTGGAGCAATCTGGGATACAGGGAAGTGCCCCTGCCCTTGGGATGAGCTTTAAAATCCCTTCCCATCCCAATCCCAATCCCAATCATTCCAGGATTTGAGGATTCCAAACCTCAGGAAGAAAAGCTTTTCCATGGGCTGGAACTCCTTGGATAGAGGCAATCCCTGAAAATGGTCCCAAATGTCCTCAGATTCCCTTTGGATGGGAATTTGAGGATAAAATTGTCCCAACCCCTCCTCAGGATCCAAGCAGATCCCAGGATTTAACATCCCAAAAAACACCTCTGGCTCCCAGTTTTCTGCAAAGCCTGGGAAGCTGCTCCCCTTGGAATTCCCTGAAAACCAGGAAGAGGCTTTGGAATAAAAGGATTTATTGAACACCTTGCAGGGACACACAGAGAGACAATTCCCACCCGACCTGTGAGGAAATCCCCTTTCCTTTTCCCCCCCATTCCCACATGGAAAACATTCCATAGTTTCCCCCACACCCCCAAAGCAGGTGGGATGGGAATTCCCACCGCTCCCAGGATTTTGGGCGAGTTCTGGAATGTTCTGACAGAAGATCAGTGACACTTTAAATATTCCAAATTCATTCTTGCCAGAAGAAAATCCGTATTCCCAAGTTTTTTTCCTGGTTCCAGTAAAATCGGGAATGGCCAAAAACACCCTTAAAGTGCTGGACAGCAGCTCGGAATAGCAGCGGATGGGTCCCCCAAAAGAGAGGGAATGACCGGAAAAAGATGGATTTGGGACTGAAAGAAAACTGGGAAAAAGCTGGAAAAATCTCCCAGGGAAAAGCCTGGTGGCTCTGGAATTCCAGAGGGACCTTTAGGATTTCCCTAAATCTATGGAGAAGGACAGGTCCATGCAGAGCTTCTTTGGGATCACTCATGGAATCAATTCCCAGCTTCCCTAAAAACCTCCGGGAATGAGCACAAAGCAGTTCTTGAGGAGCAGTGGCAGCAGAGAATTCCTCAGGCTGGGAAAATCCGGGATTCCAGCAGGAAAAATTCAGGGTTTCCTGCGCCTGCAACGGGACAGAGAACCACAGAGAACTTTCAGGATTCATCCAGAGGAATTTTGGGAGCAGCCAACCCCCCATTCCCAGGTTTTTGCACTCCCAAATCCCCCACAACTCCTAAAAAAAATCCAACATTTAAAACAAACAAACAAAAAAATTCCGGGTTTTCCTTGGGTTTTCAGGCAGCAGGAACAGCGAAGTTGGATTCCAATTCCTCAATTCCCTCTTCCCACAGGGAACTGGAATCCCAAAAAATAGGAATTTTCCAATGGATAATGTGAGCAAGAGGTTAAAGGAGCATCCAGGGAATTCCTGCTGCCATTCCTGATATTCCACTTGGGAATGCAAACAAGATGTGGGAAGGGAAATATTCCCAAATTTTGGAAGTTGTGATAGGAAAGAATTCCAGGAGTGCTCACTTGGGCTGGGCGTGGTGCTGCAATCCCGGTCCCAGCGCCGATCCCGCCCTCATCTCCACGGCCACGGAACACTGGGAACACACCAAAGTCAGGATCCATCCCTTCCCACCATTCCCAGCTCCCACCATTCCCAAATCCTCATCCCCAGGGGTCTGGATGCTGCAATGTCCAAGGCCAGGCTGGA